GCAATGCACAGGGATAATCTCACAATTTTTAGCAGATAAATATATCTCTGACCTAAATCTGTTACGGAAATAAAAGCTTTCATGATAACCTTAGAAAATACTGTTCGCTTGAGATCTCGGTAAAAGATCAATTATATAAATGGCATCTAAAGGAGCCGCAATGCTACTTTGATTTACGTGTATACATTCACGTTCTCATGCATTGTAATTTTTAATGCGACCGCATACTTTGATTTACAACGTCGCCTATGGTATTTTCCATAATTTATGTGAAAATACGATGTTTCTGCAATTTATGGATTTCGATGTTCACGATTACTATGAATATAGATGTTTCTACGATCATTCGAGATTACAGGTCTCTCTCATAGACATTCGCGTAATAAGAAATTAATTATTATCCAAGAAGTAAGAATCTTATTACGACAGTAATGGAACGAAAATTAAGTTAATCTTAATAATAAATAAATGTATAATTAAAATTAATTCATATTGATTCATTAATCACAAGTACATAAATTTTCTTTACCCATTATTCAATATTAATGCGTAGAAATATCAGAATAATCGTCGCAGATATTTCATATGTCAGTTTCCTTCCACCGAGTAATTTACGGAAAATCTACGATTGTTAATATACTTGCTTATATGCAGCTAGGATCCCACGGGAGTGATTTATGCAACGACGTTTGTTAACGGTCTTTGTCCATTTGCAATTCATGTACCATCAACATTGAGCCGTTTATCACCTTCATAAACTTCGATCCTGCTGACGCAAAACACATTTATCATCATATCGTTGATTTCATAATGTTGCGTTGAAAAGGTAATGTTACATGAACGCGCCTAGATTTCTTTAATCGTAGATCAAGCCGATCTCATTAAGCCGTATTTAGCGTTGCCGATTCAATCTCCCAATAAAGACGTGATCTTTTAAGTTCGCAATATATATATTCTTAGTATTAGACTTCTGTTCAACCTCGAAAACGAATTTTCTTTTTTGGCAATTGATATTTATCGTGTACTTTTGTATCAATTCTGTGAAATGATTAAGATTAAGATAGAAACGCGGTCACAAACATAATAAATAAAGAATATTTATATTTTTAATGGTAATAATTATTTTATCAACATTTGAGAGAGGTAAATACCAAAACGGTATGAGCTAACATTATTTTTTTAGTTACGGTAGCAATAAAGTATTTGCATAAATGTTTGAAATAATCAAAATTATATTCTGTTTTTTCACAGATATTTTACTTTTCTTTCTGATATATTATTCATATTAATAAACAATGAAAATAATTTTCTAAACGTTCGTTGTTGTCAACCAAACGGAATAGGCAGAAATTCTAGCGGTGTGAATTCAACTTTAAAGTCCGTGACTTGTATCGGTGATACAACGATTGATTTGCGAACCCCTATAGAATCATGAAGTCATACATACACACCGCACGATCGATGCAAGAAAATGATATAAACGATCTCCCTTGCTGTGGCAAGCGGATACCGCGGCTCCCGATCAAACGTTAACTGGTAGCATGCGAACGGTTATGCTAATTTCTACGTCTTAACGTTAATATCGAATATTTATGATCGTTCAACGTATGACTTATGTTTATTACTTTCACCTACCCGATATACCGATAGTTTAAGACTGCGCATGCTGGTAGTATTGAAACTGTTACGAAACTATTGCAGTTCGTATCGATAAAAGCTTACTTTCCTCATGCCTTTCATTTTTCCATTATACTCTTTATTGATTGTGTTGATGTTCTCAAATTATTTATTATCATATCGTGTTACAATACAGAGTGATGTACGAAATGTCATACCGTTTGATTTATATATGACACATTTATTTTTAACAAAATTGATACAGAATTAAATAAAATTCATTATACCAAAGTCTGAAAATTGAACAGTTAAATGATATACCATTTCGTGCCCATCCTGTATAAGATCAAGATTGATAAGAGATAATATTTTTTTTTAAAGAACAAAACATTATGTTTTTTTTTCAAATATGTTTTTAATATTTCATATATTATGTATATGCTTTATAAAAAAGTATTATAAAAAACATATTTAAGAAATGTTAAAAACATGGATTAAGTACGTTTTAAAAAGTTTAAAACGTATTTAAAACATAATTTTTATCAACTCTGTAATACGTGTTGTAAATGAAAGATAGTCTGAGAAGATTTCTTTTACAACACTTACTACGGTATTTTATATAACTGTATTCACAAACGAATATATTACTTGTTGGGATATGTTACCGGGCCAAACCTTATCTAAGATCATTTATTATTTAATAGCTAATTTGAGGAAAATCGAGATGTTCTCTAAAAGAGAGAAAAGATAATCTAAAATAGATGTTGGTTATCATGATTTAGTATAAGATGATATAAGAACAACTCTTTAAAGTAAGATCTTTTTATAAGATTATTTAGAAACGTATATCTCACAAATTTCCTCGAAGGATTTTTATTTTATGCAATAAATTGTTAGCTTATATTAAAAACGTATAACAAACGCAATAAAATATATTTTGTTTTTTATCTTTTATATTACATAAATAGTGCAATAATCTAACACAGCGATCTAACTTTACTATTAATATTATTCGAAAATGAATGACATATATTAATCTAGTTTAATTTATTATAATATTTTTTAAATATTATGTCAGTACATAAAAGTTTTTCACTAATTTAATTGATGTTATTATACATTATTAAAAATAGTAATTTGATTTAGATTTATGACCAATAAATGTATCAATTTACTATATCAATTATTAATTAATAATTAAACTATATTAAATAGCAAATTGACGAAAATTTCAAAGAATCACAAGTTTGAAGAAAAACTATTTTAAAAGTTCGAAATTTATTATCGCAACTGATATCTCTTATTTTCGTATAACAAGGAAACTGTTAAACCACTAAGTTGTTTAATGGAAACATAAAAATTCGTAAATCTTCATCCGCGTTTTTCCGGTTTCCCGGATATTTCGCTAGGCGGTCAGGAATGGGCGCGGTTATTTTTTAACATTCTGCACCTTTATTCGAGTCAAACATCGGACGGAGACGCCCGAGAGAGCCGAAACTTTTCCAATTTAAAGTTTTCGTCGGCCCTGACTTTCACGCTGCTGCAGACCAAACGGGTATCTTTATTGCACTCAACAACGTTGCGAACCTCCCCGCCGCACTCAGGATACTCTAACACTACATCCGCTAAACCCGTACATGGGATTCGTGTTTGTGTAAACACACGTCCTATCACCATTTTTCTTTTCGACCCTTTCTCACAAAGCTTTATCGAACGTCATTACTGTATAGGTAAACCTGTGGTGACCTTTCGGTGCCATGGGTATTAATTAACTTCTAAGCTATTGGCATAGAAAATGCTGCGAAGTCTACCAATAGTAAGGAAAGTTATCGTTCACTTATCTTACTTAGTTATCAAAAAATATTTCGATTATAATTATTCTGGATAATTGTGTCCGATTAGTTATTGTTTTAACACATATATTCGTTTTATATGTTTATATAATACTATTTTGTGGGAGAAATTCTGTAACGTGATTTTTGCGATCGGTTATACCTTAACCTCCGTCACTCTCAGTGTGAAAGCGGCTTAAGAACCGGTGGTTAAGCTTTTCTGGTAATTAAGTGCGGCTTATGTCGGCACTGCGAGGGTGGCTGTGGTAACCTTAGAGGTTAATAACTCAGGGGAGGTTGGCCGCCCCGTGTGCAACTGGCGAATATGATATTGTTATGGGGTCTGCAGGGTCTATGGGGGTCCGGACTGCCACAGGCATGAAAGAGTAAGAGAGAGGGAGGGGAGGAGAGAACAAGTCGGGGTAAAGCGAGAGAATGAGAGAGGTACCAGGTACCTAGCACCAACCGTCCGTGCTGTGAACTCTACACCAGCTGATTAGGCTCGTGCCAGGCGTTATTAATCCGCTAACTCACCCCCACCTGACCTCTAACGAGCAGAACTATCTGCGCTACACGTGCATACGTCGTTACGGTTCTCCGCCACTGGTTCTCACGTGCGGATACGAGCTCCTTAAATGAACTTCGACTTCCGTTCGATTAAACTTGACTTTGGTCAAAGTGACTATTTCAACAAATGCGCTCATTAAAGCCAATTTTGACTGTCTTAATTTACTATCAAACAAGGAGGCTCTTTTAAAGTACAATATCTATAATGTATAAACATTATGATATACAGTTCAGAACAGTTACTTTAGTGATTACTTTTGCATAAATGTTTATACATTTCTTTATGGTATTTTTAATTTACAAATTAATATAATTCTAAATTAATGTGCAGTGATTAGTTATGACAGAGTAACGAGTTTAACAAGGGGAGAACCACTGTCGGAGAATGCGTTGTGCACGTCCGATGTAATATTAGGAATGAAGACCTTATAATCACCTGCCCTTTGCGCGTGACTGTAATGAAGATATCTACAGTCTTGCTAAATATACATAATTCTCAAATACACTTCTTCAACTTATCGTATTTTTAAAAATTACATCTCTTTTAAAAAATTATATTTATATACGTGAGATTTTTTTCATTTTTCACACATATCTGTTTTTGTAAAAAACAGAAATATATTAATATTATATAATTAGAATGCTTTTTTATTTATAGGATAGCTTAAATACAGAATTGTTATATAAATTATTAACCTTTTTGGAGGTATATAGAATTTTTTTATTGTATAAAGTATCGTGGAATATTTCGGTGGACCTCTGATAGCTTCGGCTCGGGCTTTGGAGGGCGATCGAGATGTAGGATTCGGACGGTATTGATTTGCGTGGTCAATGATATCGAGTTTCTGGTGAAAATATTGCTAGTCGATAGTGTTCTGCTTTATGAGGTGTGTAATGACACCGTACGGGAACAGAAAACCCAGAGGAGACGTAAAAATGGCACAACGTATGCAGTTTCACCGTGCGGTGCGGGGATAAAGAGATAGAGAGAGAGAGGGGGGGAGAAGGAGAGGGAGAGAATGGAATGTCGAGTAAGCGAGAAATGGAGAGAAAGAGAGAGAAAGAGACATAGGAGAGAGCGCTAGGTTATTGGATGAGCAGCAATCATAAAATTTCCACCCTTCTGTACGAGGGATATCGCGCGCGGGTCGAATTTGACTGCGACACGTATACGCAGGCGGGCACCATTACACACCATGCATGTAGTAGATATGTAAGGGATCGCCGGGGTTATAAAATGTTTTGCAAACTAGATATGTTGTCAGCGGTTTACATAAGGTTGCCACCCACGCGCGTGTCCGTTTGCTGGTCGAATTTAAGGTACGTATTCTTAACCGTGAATTTACATTTATATATATATACATTTACACAAGATTTTCGTTGACTTGGCATTTTCAGCGTGTTAGGCATTAACTTTTCCTATCTTAAAGTATGTATGAATTCAATTTTCAGTTAAAACGCGCTTCCATATAATTTATACGATGCCTGCGAGCGAAGGTGTGCGCGCGCGCGCGCGTGTGTTATTCATATGTATTTGTGAATTAGGAATTACTCAACATCGATTCTTATAAATACGCTTTCATGTGCAGTTCATGTAAATACGTAGGTATATTAGTTATATACTGAAGAGATTAATACACGATATTTAGATATTTAGCAGACATTTAAAACGATACTGAACACTAAATAGTAAATATATATTTTAAGCAGAATAAAATATTATAATTATATATTGAGAAACCTTTTCTCCACATTCATATTTCTGTAAGTGTGACATTACTCTCCTGAACTAGCTTAGAGCCTTATCTTTATTACGGACATTTCAATAATATATTTCTAGTATAAAAAAAAAAACGTTTGACTTGACTTTTAACATCTTCGTGCCTCATAAGAATATTTATCATAACGGGAAACACAAATATTATTCGTATAGCAATCGCGCGTTATTTTTGCTATTTACAATGACTTTGTAGTGCGCCTTGTTGAGATAGCCAATGTTGTACGAACTCTTTCGTAGTCGTGGATATTTGCGAATTCGTATCTGATATGTCAGAGTTATGCGTTATTGCCCATAGCCTTCCTCTCCCCGCTGTCTGCGAATGCGATTGGATATCGCATACCTATTCCTGACGAAAAAAATCCGCCTGCTACGCGTATGCTATGCTACTGCCAACGGCATTGCATAAACATTAGGAATGTATCTTCGATCTCCAGCGACCGTAAGATAGTAGCACGACACCCACGTTCCTGAAATCGAAAAAACCCAATGGACGCTTCACCGTTTGACCGTTACCACGTCCGCGGGAGACAACGGGAACGTGAAGGGAATATAATGCGAACAGTGTGCGCGAGATTATGGGCATAATCGGCCGTCGACTGTAGCAATGTATGTACGCGAACGTTTCACTTGCTGGATAAGAACAGCGCACTGTTGACTATACGCAATTCTTTTGAGATTAACCCGATTATGGTGTTCGAAAATACTCAGAGTTAAGCAGTTTAAACAAATAAGAATAAATTGTTCTGATAAAAATGCTCAACAGATAAAATATCAGCATAAAATACATGGCAATATTTCTTTGAATGATCTCGAAGAAAGATTTTTTTTAGAAAGTTTATTTAAATATGTTTAAAAATTAAATAAGGTATTAATTTTAATTTTTATAACAAATGCAAATATCTTTTAATAAGTTTAAAACTATTATTATAATTACACTTCATTATAAGAATATCTATGTATATAACATATTAGGAGTAAAGCATTAATTTTTTTGTCGTAGCATCTTGCTGTACCTAATTACTTTTGAAACTTGTGAGCACACACTTCTGATTTAACTTTATTTCAATACTGTGCGCGGCTGATTACTGATGAATGCATTCATATACGTAGGTCGCAGGGATTGAGACAGTCACATCGGTATAGACATGTATGATTACAGAGATTCATGGGTCAAAATCGCACAGACAATGAAGCACGGGCGCTCACGTTTCCTAACAACACTCGCCCAATTTCACTCAAACAGAAGCCGATTAATTCACGGCGTCCAATTTAATCCGTTCTCCCGACTCGATCGGTGACGAGGAAGGCCGATGGAAAAGCATCGTAGTTATCGCGGGCCCCTCGTCCTTTCCGAGACCCCCCAATATGGGGCATGGGAGGTTTCTCCATACGCCGATCCATTATACATATTTTAAACTGTCAATCTCTCTACGGCGATTGCCATTCGGATTGGCCGTGCGGATTAGACAAAAAGGGTCAGGTTGGATTGCTATAGGGACAACAATGAGACCCTACAAAAGACGCGGAATATTAGGGAGCAACGTAGACTATCGACAGACTGCCCTTCCGTTCAGCAACCTCGCCATCACCGCTCTTGCTTCAACTTCGATTTCCTTTCCTCCGCCTGCTCTTCCTTTCTCTGCGCTTCGTCATTAATGCGTATCAAATCGCGCGGAGTGAATCCTTGATGATGCGTGACATGCGACGACCGGAGAGAGAGCGCGACTTTTCTAGTACAAATTTAACAGTGGAAGAAGCACGACATATTTTTTGTATGTAATATATATTTTATACCTGAGGATGTCTATTTTTTTAAATCCTTTATGTTCGTATTATAGTGTTAGATTATTTAAAAAATGAAATAAGTTGTCAAAAAAATTCTACATCGAATGAAACAATCATTATTTAATATAATTATAACTGTACAAAATAATATTTGAATATTTGTTTTTTCATAATAGTATTTTGGAATAATACAGTTTTTAACATTATTACTTTAATTGACTTTTCATCTGTTAGTCGTTGATTGCTTAAAAAAAAAACTATTTTACGAAACTCTCTACAACGGGATAGATAAATAAACGCATCTAATACATATCTCGCCTCATAGTGCAGAAAACACGAATGCTGTTTCACGCTAACACTGCTGACTCGAGTTCGTTGTCGTTTCGCAGTCATCTCACCGATCTGCCCTAAGTCAGAGTGACTCCGGCTCTTATACGTGCGTGAGATCACGCGCGAGCTCGTTCTCTGCATTTATGCCTAAGGCCCCGAAGGCTTCCACGGTTTTTTCTCTATTCCTTTCGCATGCCCGCT